ACAGTAAAAGCCAAGCTGCACTGCAGCATAAAAAGGAGGGAGGGAGGGAGAGAGGGGGAGGTAGGGAGGGAGAGAGGGGGAGGGAGGGAGGGAGGGAGGGAGAGAGGGGGAGGGAGGGAGGGAGAGAGGGGGAGGGAGGGAGGGAGGGAGGGAGAGAGGGGGAGGGAGGGAGGGAGGGAGAGAGGGGGAGCGAGGGAGGGAGAGCATATGGAACAAATACACCTACAATAGCAGGAGACATAAAAGATCTTGAGTAATAATCCGTGTACTTGCCCCTATGAAAGCAGAAGTATGCAAAAGTCTTAAGGTCCAAAGCTGTTATCGGAGGCCCTCCCTTCCCAGGACCGTGCTCCTGCTGGAAGTCCAGACTTCAGGTTCGTGGGCAGCGACTGTGTTTGCTGGGGCTTTCGCATGACCCCAGATCCTCTCCACCAGCTTGACCAGCACCCCTTCAGTTAAACTTCATTAATTGCAACACACACCGCTTTGCATCTTTCCCATCACAACTGAAGAAAACTCTCTGGATTGGGCAAGATCATCTTCCAGGTGGCAGAGGTCCTTTCTGCCTTTGTGTTAGGAAATGCAGGGCTGACGGGGCTAGAACACCAGGGTGCTGGGCTTGGCCCTGAGCAGAGCAGCCCAGCCAGACCTGCAGCCGCAGCAGCTGCCTGATGCTGCCACCCCCTGGCCCTGTTCAGCTGTAACCATCACTGAATATTTCCCAAGTGCACATGGAACAATGTTTTCATTCGGCAATATGCTAACATTAGCGTTGGCTGAGGGGTGGAGAGGGCCGTGAATTGACATTTTCTCTGAACGAAGCAGATGCACAGTTGCCTTTCCTCATATCATCTGCAGGCAGAAACGTGAGGGATACCCACACGGAGAAATCACAGGAGAACGAGGGCAACGTTTCTGCACCCAGAAAGATCATCAAAACGCAGCATTTGACAACTGGGTTCCCTTTCTTACATGTGCACAATGATTCTTCCTTTCGATATTTTCATATTTGCACTCAATAGTTTACAAAGTCACTCTGTGTTAAAAGAAATGTTTAAAATCGAGATACTAGTCAAGGTATGAGCTTTTTTGAAACAGAATGTAGATTTAGGCTATCCATCCTCTCATCGGCAAGAGGACAACTGGGGGTGTACCAAGCTCTTCTTCAAGAGAGGCTGGGACGTCGGGGTGCTGAGGGAGAAGAGGCCTGTGGAACCATCTGCTGGCCCCGTCAATTAAAGGGGAATAATAATGCTTTCTTCCCTGCTCCGGCTGTAGTGAGTCGGGGCGTGGGGGTGCCTACTGTGTAGAATGTCTCCTCATCTAGGGAAGCCAGTGGAATCATAAATAAGCATAAGTGTGTGGCTCAAGTCCATTTAATCCCAGCCCTTCGGAAAGATGTTAACAGGGTTAAGGGTGGACCTTCGGATCCAGCCCAGCTCATCAAGGCCAAGGGCAGGTACGGAGGGATCATGTTTCACCTTAAGGATCCATAATGAGGGGAAGGGACCTGTGACCCTCCTGTCTCAGTTCATGCACTCCTCGATATTTAACCAAGGTGGCAGCCCTGGGGAACTGGCTGGGTGGAGATGTGGCCGAGGAGAGGACAGAATACAAATTTACCCCGTGACCAAAGAGACTGTTTCTAGTTTAAAAACATGAAGGTTTGAGATCATTCTGAGTTAGTTTTCTCTCACCCTAGAGATCAAAGATGGGACCAGCCCATTCGAAACCTGCAACTATGTGACAACCTCAGGATTATGCAAACCACTTACAAAGAGACCACACCTGGGCCACCTTCCTCTGCAGCCGTCACTGGCCTTGTGTGGTGACGGACTGCTTGAACATGGCTGATCTCAACTGGAGGCGCTGTAAATTTAAAATATACGCTAGATTCTGAAGACAGTCCAAATTGAGCATAAAATATCCCACGAATGACTATACTGATTGCATGTTGAAATGATAATATCTTGGACATAGTGGGTTAAATAAAATATATTATAAAATTAATTTAACCTGCTTCTTCTTAGATTTTTCTAAGTGCCTTCTAGAAAACTTCAAATGTAACAATGCGGCTTGCATTCTAGTTCTCTTGAACAGCAATGGTCTATACTAACATAATGCTACAGCTGTGAAGACCCTTAGGGATCCAAACGTATCCCTTGCAGATTTAGAATGTCTCAGAAGAAGTTAGGGAACCTTCCAAAGCACCTCTTCCTCCTCCAACTGCAGTACCTGCCTCCCTGCACTTTTTACCAGGATAAAATTAAAGTAACTCATACTGAAGCCGAATAACTTTTCTCCAATTAATGCAACGTGTCTATATATTTAATAAGACCTTGTACACACACTAATGTGATTGAGGGTTAACGTATCCTCATCCTAACCCATCAAAAATATTCCATATCTGATTCCTCCTGGGACCTTGTCACTGACAGAATTCTGACAGCCTCTACAGTGACAGATACACTCACTAAATAAAGGGTGAGCACCTTATGTCACATATATACCCGACACTTCACTTGCCTCGAGCCAACAGCTTTTCTTCATGCATCCATCAGGATGCCTCTTCTTTATAGAAACACTCAAAATTTAAAGTTTCATATTCGAAACTGATAAAAATGTCAATCACGTACCTTGATAAACATTTCATAAACCCCATATATCTTTTACAAAACATCTAACAAGGTAAAATAAAACAAAACCTGGTTTTACGTAAGGTATAAGATATGCAAAGCTTTGGGCTTCCCTGGTGGCGCAGTGGTTGAGAGTCTGCCTGCCGATGCAGGAGACACGGGTTCGTGGCCCCGTCCGGGAAGATCCCACGTGCCGCGGAGCGGCTGGGCCCGTGAGCCATGGCTGCTGAACCTGTGCGTCTGGAGCCTGTGCTCCGCAGTGGGAGAGGCCACAACAGTGAGAGGCCCGTGTACCGCAAAAAAAAAAAAAAAAAAGATATGCAAAGTTTTGATTCTGCATGACTGGACTACAGAGGTTACCACTGAGAAAAATAACTAGTTCAAAAGTATGCATCAGTTCTAGGGGAAATACACTACTTTTCATGGCTGTTGTAAAGGACCCATGTATAAACGTCTAGTGCAGTTGTGAGTTATGTAGAAGGATGTGAAAATTGAAGTTAGGATCACAGATAAGGTACCAAAAAAGAAAAAGTGCCTATAATATAATTGAAGAGTTACATTTAGCCTTGTGGAATACCCGTTAATATGGTCTATTTAAAGAAGAGATGCTAGAAAAGCTGGGGAACAAGGCAGTCTGCATGCCAAGTAGTGACATTAATGGCACCAGAGAGTATAGAAATTCAACACTGTGATTTGATCTGGTCATTAGGACCCAATAGGGAGGTACCAAGTCTCTCTCATTCTGGGTTTTGTCCCAGACACTCTCTTGAAACTATATCTTGAAAACCAGCAGTTACTTCCTAGTCTCCAAATCCACAGTAATTCCTGTCTCTTCTTAAGAATGTAATCACTGCCTCTGTCTTGAAACTCCTTTTGGGTTTTTTTTTTTTTCCTCGACAGAATAGACTACTGGTGGTTCTTCTGCTTCTATCTTTCCACTTTCCTTTTGAAATTCAGCTCTGACTCCTAATTATAAATGTTTCACAAGTGTCTGGACTTGGCTCTCTTCTTTGTCCTTTATGCTTTGAATTCCCATGTTTCCAAACACTTTCCTAACTGCAGAGAATACCTCAATACCACATAACTTAGAACAGTGCTTCCTTCACATATCTGCTGAGTAGAGGAAAGGAAGAAGAAAGCAGTGAGGCAGAGAGAGGTGATGGGAGGTGCAGTGGATAATGGGGAAGTTTGGAAGGTGGAACTGCCAAGCCAGGATGAAGCCCAAGATATGGAGACGGAACAGGCAACCGATGTGGATTTGAGGTAACAATCACTTAAGTCAAGAAAGAGGAAGGACTCTGAATTCAGGACACCAGGCATATCCCCATAGTCAAATAATTTTGGAAAACACTGGGTTAAACAAAGTGAAATAGGTTTGGCTTCTTTAAGACTTTATAATGAATTTTATAAGCTAATAATGTGTATTAGAGTCTCCAAGAATAGTAAACATTACTTTCCCAACTGAAAAATGTTTTCCTCTCCACAGAAAATCTTAAAGGACCAGTGCAATCACTGTTTTATTTTTTTCTGGTTGTGTTTATTAGTATATAATGTGTATCCAGTGCTGCATTAAGTGTTCACGTGCTGTGAGAGATAAAATTAGAAGATTCCATTGCTGCCTTTGAGAATAAAACATTCTAATTAGGAAGATTAGAGAAAAGCCAAAGATAGTTCATAATAAAATCCTATGAGATCAGACTCCAAATACAGAAGAAAAGACACTGGACAGCAAAATCTAAATGTCACGATTCTCAATTATTTGCCTTTGCTAAATATAGCAACCTAAGTAGAGGGCAAATTGAGAAACAGATGAGACAAACTAGGGAAAATACACCAGTGATATTAAACTTCAGCCCAACTCCATCTTTTCTCCAAAAATGACTACAAAGGGAACCAGTTATGATCTTTATGCAAACCAATGTTAGCCAATATTCTAAGTTTTATTTCCACCAGTAAAAAAAAAAAAAAAAAGAGCCATAATTCAATTGTGTACACATACTTCTCCATAGTTGTGACCAATTATTAAGAATATATGGAAATAGGTCAGTTTCTGTTTTAAAAATAATTTAGTCACCTACAATCCTCATTCTAGTGATGTGACCACATCCTTACTTTGTGGAACAGGAAGGGATATAGCCTAGTGGAGAGAGGGAAATCTCATTTAGAAAGATCATGTATGAATCCTTGAGGGCAATAACAAAGTCCCTCCTAACCCTTAGGGGATTGGATTCACATGAGAGACAGAATTTTGAGGGGATTGGAAAGACTGTGAGGTGGGAATGAAGAAGGAGAAATGTCTTAAGGAAAACAAAAGACAAATGGAAGAAACAAGGGAAAGAACTAGATTCTCTTTCAAGGACCTACCGTTCCATCCCCACCACAGGCCAGAATCCGCAGATTTGGTACTTTCCTATATAATTCAAGCCTGTAGAGGATACAGAAGGAAAAGTAAATAAAAGAGCATATCACCGGCCATAGCAGAGAGCACGATTCCAAAACACACCAAAACGAAGGGGGGCGTGGAGGGTGTCACTGGAGAAAACGCATAACCGCGAGAATGGTAATACCTTCAAAACGAGTCACCGAGTAGTCACCAAGTACTGGTTCCAACAATCGGATTAGGGGCTGGCAGCAAACGTCACTGGAATGGGGTTCTAGGGTGCCCTAGTGTTTTATTTCCCATAATTCCTATTAATGTGTCAACGCACGTTATTTTCCTCACTAGTGTCAAATTCCTTCTTTTTCTTTCCATTCTTCTCCCTCCTTTCTCAAAGAACATCAAATCTGATTAGCTTTTCCCAGACCTATTTATTTTTCAAATCTACACTTCCCACTCTTACTCCTAGAAAACCTTCTTCAGAGAGATAGGAAGGACACCCCACTAGCATTATTACTACCACACCCACAATTCCATCTCCCTCTCAACTCACCCGCTGACACTCAAACCCCCATTTATACTGCTCAGCCCCAAAAGGGAAGAATTACTGAATTTTCTTTATTTTGAATTTGTCTGCTTGAAATTAGATCTTTCCTGTTGTCTTAAGAAAATGCAATGATACTGTTCCCGCTAAAATGTTTGCTTAAGTGACAATTTCAATGGCTCTATTCCAGAAAACATCACCTATTTAAATCAAATCATATTTTTTTCTGAAAATAGTTCCTGTCCTGCCATGTTCTTTATGGTTATCTATGAAGTATCTACCTAAAGTCTAACTAAAAATGATAAAATCTTAAGTAAATGTGAAAGGGCAAAAGTAAACGTAAAAGGGAAAAAGCAGATTTGCCTTAATACATCTGAATGCAGAAAAAAATATAGAAGTCTTATAGCAAACTCTAGTGGCAAGGAAGTTCACAGATTAAGAGAATGACAACAGAAGTTAATTTTCATAATTAATGTTCTCTCGTAGGCTTAAAATATGTAATTTATCTATTTCATACAGGAATATTATTTTCTAGAAATTATCTGAGCTTGTGTTTCTTTGCCTCTGATATTATTACTTATCTATAAGTAGTTATAAAAATAATTAGTATCTCTTTAGCTCTAATGTTTACCAGATGACATCTGAACTACCTTATTAGGTGGGTTTTAAAAAGGGAACCAGACAACAGCAGAAATGTCCCTGCTCCTTCCCACCATGTACCCCTCCACGAAAGGGAAGATATAGGACACATGTCATCTACAGAGAGACTTTATTTTTCACCACTTCGAACAAAAAACAGAGAATGAAATTTCTGAGAGGCTCAGATGAAGGACTGAGCAGGAATTAGAATGTCTCTCCCACTCTGGTATGGAATCCGTAGGTATAATCAGTTAATCAATCAAGCTCTCAAATGGATACAATTTCTAATGCAAATTTCTAATGCAAATAAATGAAAATATTCATAAACACAGATGGCCCTTCTCCACAAAGATACACTTACATTCCCATTAATGTACATCTCCAAAGTGGTGCATGCATAAGTAGAAAAAGGATGGATCCTTTCTCCATTCAGATTTGCCCATAATGTACAGTTATATGTGTCTAAGCAGCAAACACACTCAGAGTTAACAACTCAGAGGGTAAGTGTTGAAGGAAACTAACCCAGTGAAGAGGGAAACAGCAGATGAAGTTTCAAAGGGAGGACAGTGCAGGTGAGCAAGTAGATGAGAGACGGTCAGAAAAACACTTCATGAGGTCATCAAATAATAAAGCTTGACTCCAAAGCAGAAAGTCCTTCTCACTCGCCTAAAATAGTAAGAACCATGGAGGGTATTTCCAGACTTACGCGTCTTTTGGCCCTTCCTGAGAAAGATCAAAGACTTGCCGTGGGTTCAGGTACCACATGAACATCTGCATGACCTTGGTTCCCTGTAAGGAAAAAAAAACTGACAATAACAGGAAGAAATTTCCAAATATTACCTGCTCATTTAAAGAATAAAAATAAATCCTGTTCTAAAAAATAATATTGAATTATAAACAGTATAGAGTAGCAGTTAAAATCATGGGCTTTGGCCATCGATATACATAGGTTGAATGCTTATATTAGGCTCTGTCTAACCTGTGTAACTCTGGGCAAGTTCTTTAATTTCACTAAGTTCAGCTCTCTTCTCTTTAATGCAGGAATAAAAATGCCTAGTTCACAGACTTGTTGTAAAGATTAAATGCAATAATGTCTGAGGAGAACATCAAAGTGGTTGGCATGCAACAAATGCTTAATGATTAGTATCTGTTGGCTTTTACTATCATTATTTAATGTGTGAAAATCCACATAGGGAAGTTATTAGTCAACTTATGTAATTTAACATTACTTTTTACTTTATTGTGCGGATTATTGTCTTTGCATAATATAAGGACAGTATTAGCTAAGTATGACTTTATTGAAATAAATGTTTTTAACCACAGCAAAAGTATCTCAGGCTCCCCATACTTAAAATATATAATTTCTCTAGTTAGTGCTATCAACTCTTACTTTGACATTTTTCAATTTCCATGTATACATCTGTGTCTTTTTCTCTCTCTCATAACCATTTCTGGAGTGTCTTAAGTAACTGTGACATTTATAGAGATACTATGGCAAATACAAAGCAGTTCTGGAGATCACTTCTTAAAGTGAATTGAGCAAAAATCAAATTAAAGAAGAATTTTTTTTATTAAGCAGTATCAAAAGAGCTTTAAAATTGAGTAGGGTGCCTCATTTTAGGTCACTACCAACCATAGCAAATAATATTTGATCGGATGGGCAGCATCCGTTGCTTATAACTATCATCCCTTTATTAGCTATCATGATTGCTCTTCCTTGAAAATATTCCTAAGTTTGGATACCTATACACTGTATTTGAGAGTCATCCTAGTACAGTAGAAATAGCACAATATTTGAGTCAGAGCTAACTTGGGTGTTCTAACTGGGTGACTGTGAGAATTTATAATCTTGCAGAAATTCAGCATGTAAAATAGGGCAATGTCTACTTTCCAAGGTGATTATGAGAATTAAATGAATCAGTAATAGTTTTGTATCCAGCACAGTTGTGGCACAAAATAGGCCTTTGTAAATATTAGTCCCTTTCTTTTTTGTTCCTTGTTAACCTATTCATTAAACTACACTTGAGCATGTGAGGGCTAAAGTGTAGTTTATAATTATCACATTGCTGTGCCAGTTGTTAACAGAGGCCAGTGTAGGTCTTTTGTTCCACATTTCATCCAAACCTATAATTTAAAGTTCTGCTTTATCATGTGCTTGCTATAAATTTAGGAATAACATTCTACCCTTAATCATTATAACTAATCCTTCAGTTTCGCCAAATGACATACTTTGTTTCCTACAAAATCTAGATATAGATTTAGATACATAATAATAACTAAATACTAAACCATTCTCTTCTTTCCACACCAGGCCTTGGTATCAAGTCAGTTGGGGATTATTTCAAGTAATCTTTTATGTTTCATAGGTAACACCAGAGTCATTCTAATGACCAATCAGTTTATTAAAAATTTCCAACTGACTTGCTAGAAAATTAATTTTTCACTTTTAGATTCCTAGGGCAATGTGAATTGTAGATGTTAATTACTCCTTTGTTGTCACCTTTGGCTATGGTGTGCGTCTCAATTCCAGTTTCTCTTATATATACAATACTAGGTAATTAACACCTTTCAAAAAATAAAAATAAAAAGCATTGAGGTTTTTTTTTTAATCTTCAAATTTCTCTAAAAGGTTTGAATGTCCACACCATGTTGGGTTTTGCTCATTTTCAATTTGTGTTAGTTTGAACACCTAATTCGCTACATTTATCCTTTTGACAAAGGGGTATTTTTTAAGGCTGGCAGGTTTTGCACCCCACGCTTCTAGGAGGTACCACTTAATGTTGCAGCCTACTGGAATAATGCTCTCTAGAATTGGGCAGGGATGACTTTCATAAACATGCAAGGCTGCCCTATCAGAGTTTATATTCAGGCATGATATAATTTCTTATTTTAAAAGTAATCTTTCTAAAACACATTCATTAGCAAAAATGATAAGTGTCTGAATGAAAGTATTGCATTGTCTTAAATCAATCTTGGTGGGTAAAGAAAAGAGACCTAAAACATTTAAGTTAGTTCTATTTACTCTGCTGCTACCTCTAGGATAAGCTACTCCAGTGCTTTAATAGAGATAATTTATTGAATAGAATTGAATGGGCTGACAAGTACTAATTCACCAGGAAAAGAGTAACTTATTTCTTTCTCACTGACAAGATTAAGTCTACTCCATCACCTACACAATTGACTAGCGAGTTTCAAATACTCTCACAGTCATCACATGCTACATGCCTTGTAAAAGCTGAACTTCTGTGCAAGAGTTTTATTTTTCTCTAAGTGAAAGAAAAACAGCTTACACATCAATTCTAACACGCTCTGGAGCGTGTTCTCATACATATGGTTGTAGATGTAATACCTCAATGACCACAGAATTTTCTAAGATAGTTTGAGATTGGGTATTCCTATGGAATGATAAAACATTGTTCTGTCCAGCTCCAGATATCAGGGAACAGAGTGGGGCAGAATAAAACAACTTCCAAGAAAATAGGTAGATTGTCCCAGAGGGAAACGAACAGGATTCATCCATTCACCTCCTATGTGCTAGGCACGGTTTTAGGTAAGGGGATCAGGAGATGGACAAGACAGAGAAGATCTTGTTCTCCAAAGAAAGTTCTCTGAATTATTCATGAAAAAAATATAATGATTTGGGGAGTATAGAGGATCAACTAAGAATGGGTCAGCTCAAATAGCAGCACATCAATTGTCATCAAAGCACTGGAACTCTCATGTAGGGCTCAGTACTCTATGTTACTAAGCAAGCCTTGGTTTATATCATGGAGGCATTATCTAGCTCATGAAAAGAACTGTCCAGACAATAAGAAAGACCTGAGGAAAATAACAGTGGGAGGAGGAGGTTAAGAAATCTCTTAGCCCAAACAATCCCGAAAGAATACCTTATTGATTCAATAAACCTGTATTAGGCTCCTACTCTGTACCCACGTGCACACCCAGGAGCTCAGGAGACCAACCCAAAATAAATTCGTTCACTAAAGATGGTAAATGCTATGATGAAGATGCCCACGGAGACGTATGAGTGGCTGGAGGAGATACTCTAGGCCCAACTATGGGGATTGGATGAGGGCTTCCTATGTATGATATGTGAACTGTGTCTTGCAAGATGAGTAGAGTTAACCATTTCTTTTTGCATGGAGTAGAGGAAGAAGTTTTATGGTAAGGGTACAAGATGTGTGAGACAGCAAGACATGTCACGGAAAAACTATATTCATTTCAGTCTTTGGACCATGAGGCAGGGGTGGTGGGAGATGAAACTCCCAAAGTGAGTTGTAGATTAAGTCATGTAGGCTGTGGGGCTCAGGCTTTGTTTTGCAGGAAATGACAGTCACTGAAATGTCTTAAGCAGAGGAATTGGACTTACATTTTGATACATCAGTCTGACTAGAGGCTAAGGAGCTAGACATCTAGGGCCCAGACCTGTCACAGGGGCTAGGTGGCTTGGTTTAGCCACTACTGTACACTGATGTCTGCTCCTGCAAAATAACCCTCAATGTGATGGTATTAGCAGGTGGGGCCTTTGGAATAGGCACACACAAAGATGCCCAACATCGCTAATTATTAGAGAAATGCAAATCAAAGCCACAATGAGGTATCATTTCACACCGGTCTGAATGGCCATCATCAAAAAGTCCAAATAATAAACGCTGGAGAGGATGTAGAGAAAAGGGAACCCTCCTACACTGTTGGTGGGAGTGGAAACTGGTGCAGCCATTATAGAAAACAGTACGGAGATTCCTTAAAAAACTAAAAACAGAGTTACCACATGATCCAGCAATCCCACTCCTGGGTATATATCCGGAGAAGACTGTAATTCAAAAAGATACATGCACCCCAATGTTCACTGCAGCACTCTTTACAATAGCCAAGACATGGAAGCAACCTAAGTGTCCACTGACAGTTAAGTGAATAAAGATGTTTTATATATATATTTATATTATTTTAGATATATAATATAAATATACATTTATATATATATACATACACACACAATGGGATAGTACTCATCCATAAAAAAGAATGAAATAATGCCATTTGCAGCAACATGGATGGACCCAGAGATTGTCATATCAAGTGAAGTCAGTCAGACAGAACAAGACAAATATCATATGATATCACTTACATGTGGAAACTAAAATATGATACGAATGAACTTATTTACAGAACAGAAACAAACTCACAGACATAGAAAACAAACTTATGGTTACCAAAGGGGCAAGTGCGGGGAGGGGGATAAATTAACAGTTTGGGATTAGCAAATATACACTACTATATATAAAACAGGTAAACAACAAAGTCCTACTGTGTAGCACAGGGAACTATATTCAATATCCTGTAATAAACCATAATGGGAAAGAATACACAGACACACACACACTAAATCACTTTGTTGTACAGCAGAAATACAACACTGTAAATCAACTATAGTTCAATAAAAAAATAAAATAATAAAATAATGTTTTTGATTTATCCCTAGGTTGAGCATCGTAGAAAATAACATCTTCACTGAGGCTGTTTGTTCAGTATGTAGAAATAGTCTGGGGACTCAGATTGGAAGTTACTTCCTCTCTTTGTCTCCTCCTTCTCCCCACCTGGGTTGACCTTCCCTGGCCTGACTTAGGAAGGGCCGGCCCTGGTCTGGGGAAGCCTGTGCATGAATGGTGTGTGAACTCGGTCAGTATGAGCCTGTCCACAGGCTGAACATCCCTCCCCCCTATAACCTGTTGATAAGCTCCCTGGCAACTCTGATCCAGGGGTCCAGCTCATGCCACACCTGTACCCTG